TGTGTGTGTGTGTGTGTGTGTGTCACTTGAGAGTTCATGAGGCCAGTTTGGCAGCTCCTTGCTCCACATATTGGTGTGACAGTCTGATGTGCCTCACTGCATCGGTTTGCATGAGCTCTCCCTCTGTGTTTTGCAGCTCAGTGTCTCGGAAGGACATGTACATACTTGAGGTCTTCATGTCCTCATGGATGTGTTTGCATTGAAACCTGTGTGAAAGATTGTCTTTATGTGTGCGCTGTGAGCTGTTTGTATGTCTGTGTGTACACTTGTTTTGTTAGCTCATATAGGCATGCATGTGTTTCTCATTATAAATAAAATGTAGCTGCCATAATATGTTGGTAAGTTAATGTCAGATATCGGTCTGAACTTCCAAAGGATAAATTGGGTCATCAACGCTGTATTTAATGAAAAGTTAGACAATTATTTGAATCTATCTGAATTAATTTCATAGTTGACACTGCATTTTGGAGTTTTCTTCCCATTTTTGCCCATTTTGTTTACCACCAGTGTCACTGGCTTCCCACAAGGTGACAACATACAGTAACAATTTTGTAAAATGAATCCTCTGTGAATATTTGAATGAGCCTCTGATCAGCTGTAAATACTGTTTCATGAAAGGCTTAGTTTACATCTTTGGCACAGGGCACTGCCAGCTGGAGTCAGCCAGCTGCCAGACATGTTGTCTCTGTAAGGAAACTAGTGCTCACCGCCAACCACAGCTTACAGTCAGATCCAAGTCAAGTCCAGACTGGTTTTCAAAGCCAGTAGATACTAGGAGAACTTTGAACAGACCCATTTGCATGGTTAGATACCACTCAGAATCATGGGAACAATTTGTCTTAGGGTGAGCTGACCCATTAAAAATTTGCTCATTTACAACTCAAGTGACATTATCACCCCGTGTAGAACTCCATCTTGTGTTCTATTAGAATCAGAAAGCTTCATTGTCATTGCACACCATGATGAGACAAGGCTTTTGCCATGGTGAATGCGCCCTGAGCTTCTTTCTAGTTGTCAGCTGCAGCCCTAACTTTCATTATGTCAGTTTGTTTCTAAAACCACCACGAAAGAGATTGTGATTAATTTATTTCCTTCCCTGGTTCTATTCTTTCTTGGCCCCATCCACTAGGACACAAGTCGACCAATGAGAGCATCTCTGTGGGTGTTTTTGTGTGTGTGTTTGTGTTTGTGTGTGTTTGTGTTTGTGTGCGTGCATGCATGCATGCATGCGTGTGTGTGTGTGTGTGTGTGTGTTCCTACCTCGGGCCGTACTGACAGGGCAGTATTGAAGGCCTCCACAGCTTTGTTGAACTCTCCACTGATGTTGTAAAGGACCCCGAGGCCCGTCTGCAAATCTGGGTCAACACTGTCCGAGTTTTGCTGAACTGCTTCCAGGCAGAGCTCCTTGACCTCTGGTAGCAGAGAGCTGTGGACGCACACATGGGCACACACACAAACACACAGATAAAGATTAGTAACAAGGCTGCTGAGTGAGCACTCCTAAGATTGCTGTGCTATGATGTGTATTGTGCTTCATGTTAAATTTCTGTCAGTGCAAGAAAATGAGAGAGAAGGACGACTGCTTCAAGAAAAGATAAAGTGAGGAAGGAAGAAAATGAATTGAAGGGGGGGGGGTTATTGACGCACTTATATATATGAAGTGAGTCATCTGTGTTGATAGAAATAATAGTTTAGTGTCTTGGATAACTAATACCAGGGCTTTTACTTTTTATTATTTTTGCAATTTTGCAAGCTCGCCTGTTAGTTTTCCAAGTGAGGCAGTTAAAAGAGGCACCACAGACGAGTGGAGCAACATCAACTGTGCAACCTCGTCTGATTGTGTGGGCGTGCAGGGAAAGGCATTTAAACAAATTGCGTGTCATGTCAAATTCGTTCAAACTTTCTTTTTTTTTGAGAAAGTTACAGTCTTAGTACATACAGTTTAAATTATCTTAATTAAATAGCCGATTAAATGTATTTGTAATTTGTTTTTATTTTGTGTTGTTTGGCAAATGGGTCACTGTGATCTGGCCATCATTACCTCATTTTCAAGCTTTTCTCTATCAGCGTCTCTAATTTAATTTTCTGAAAATAAAATTAGAAACGTTCATTTTTTGTTTCTATTTACTCGTAACTTACTTGAAGACAACATACAATAAACGTAGTCAGTTTTGGGCGTTGATTGATGTGTGAATGTTATTTTGTATAATTTAGTTCTTATGTGTATCAAAAGTCAGTCCACTCTGTGCATCGCATGTTGTTCTACCATCTGAGTGAATGTCATTAACCTGACTCTCTGCATCACGTCCTGGATCAGATCACACTCGCTTTGTTATTGATCCCTCATTGTTCTCATTTATCCAGCTGAAGTTCCAAAAAACATTTCTCTTTCCTGTCAGGCTTGACACACTGCAATCTCTAATATGAGAGCTAGGCTCACAGTTTGAGAACCACTGCACAGAAGTGAAAGATTAAAGAAATGACAGATAGACTGTTAGTTCTACCTCACTGGGCATTTGCTTCTTAGCTTTTGGGTAAAGATAAGGATTGCCCTTTATGTCATGTCTTATGGTGAAGGAAAGCTAGAGGAGAGAGACGTGCAGAGAGAAGTGCACAATGAGGCTACAGAGAGAGAGAGATGGAGTGAGCAGCAAAAAGTTAGGGAAAAGGATATTGCATGGATTAAATTGGAGACCATAGTAATTGGGATGTACCTCTATCCCTCCACATTGACCAGACGATCAATGATGTGATAAAGTGCTGCTTTACCTTGGAAGCAGAATTAGGCCTTTTTTAAAATATTTTTGGGGCTTTTTTTATGCCTTTAATGACAGGACAGTAGAAGAGAGACAGGAAGCCGAGAGAGGGGGGAACGACCTGCAGTAAAGGGCCGGCCGATGCGGGATACGAACCGGGGCCCACTGCAGCGAGAACTGTAGCCTCTACGCATGGGGTGCCGGCACAACCCACTACGTTACCGGGCACCCCAGAATTAGGCCTTTTTTAATCTAACAACTTCATTTTTGTGGCTTAAGAAAACACCGGCAGTGTGCTGCTCAGAGCTGTAAGAGTTGTTTGACAAGATGGATACACGTGGCACCATGTATGTTTTTTCGCCTTTCAAATTACACCAATACCAACTGTGGTCGAGAGACCTTGAAATCAGCTTTTGGACCCTCTGACAGCTTAATAGTATTTTAATTAAAACAAATGAGTCTGAAATTGCTGGAGGACAGCACATGATATATCATATGTTTGTTGCCTAATCTATGAGGCTGAGCTCATAAGTAAAGGCTGCAATTCAAAATGAGCTTTTTCTTCTGTTTAGGGCCTCTCGTCCACACGCAAACAGCATTTTAACTGACTAACTAAAAACAACAACAATGGCAGTTGACAGGAGAATAAGCTCAATGAGCATGCTCACAATGTTCTTATCTGGTATTTGATGAAGTGTGGAATTTATATGATATTAGGGTAGCTCACACTGTCAGCTGAAGGGACGCGAGGCTTTCCTCTAGGTGATAGCGATGCAATTCTCTGTCATTTTATATGAAATTTTATATAAAAAGTGAGTTATTTCATGATAAAATGCTTATAGACTGGTTTAGAAATCTGCAAGGACTTAATATCAAATTGTCAGTGAATAAAATCTGTTATTACCATAAATCATACAACTTTGGTTATTGATTTGCAAGATTACCCATGTAGAGCTGTATATATATTGTTTTATTCATCAATTAGTCTATGAAATCTATCCATTCATTGTTTATAACACTTATCCTTTGAGGGTTGTGAGAGGTGAGAGCCTGGAGGTTCTCCTTGAATGAGAATATTGGCTGTGTTTCTGTGCTATTTACTACAGAAAACTTTGTAATTGTTTGGATATTCAGTCTAAATATTCTACCTTTCATACCTGCCAATGTTGGGAGCATGTGACATCCTGCGTTGGGAGTTCGGGGATCCCATCAGGTGGGACTTTCCTTTCAGCAGGTGCTTGTACTTAGGATTGTGCCGTAACCAGCGGAGCAGGGCCTCACAGGCGTCATTACGCATACCAGTGTTGGTCAGGCTCACTGCCAGAGCCATGAGGGCCGGTAGGTTGTTTGGGTGGAGCTCCAAACACCTGGAGGGAACCCGGGGATGGGAGAGGAGAGGTGGTGAGAGGTGCGCACTTCAAAGGGAAGTCTAAAATTGATGGGCATTAATTGGGACAGGCCGAAGCAAAGGAACATCAGGCAGAGGCTAATGATTTCTGGTTCACGATGGATGAGCTGCTCCTCTCTTGTACAGGCTCTGCTGCAGAGGACCAGGTCTGCATGCTGCCCTCACAGGCACGGTTTGAAGATTTGCATTCGGTTAGCCTTTGGTGGATGGTTACATCATCAGTTATATCATGGTGGATGACTGCCACTAAGACCTACACTGGCCTTTGTAATTGAAAAGGAAAGAAGAGCAGCGCTGTGTTGGATGAACATCTTGGATTATTTAAAAGAAGAGAGGCCAACACAGGATTTAGCTTTCATCAAGATAAACTTCAAGCCAGATTTGCTTCAGCCGACGTGCCAACTTCCTTAAAATCCGTGTAAGCTCAGACAAACCAAATTATTTCAGTCCACCACTGCAGTGTGCTGGAGGTGAAGATTACATAAACTTTGATTTGGGTTACACAGATCCACTGTAAACTTACAAGGATGCGTTCCTTGTGCAAGATGTTGACTTTGTAAACATACAAGGTTCCAAAAAATGCAAGTAATCCATATTTTTGTGAAACAACCACATTTTCCATGGATAGTATTTCATAGATGGTTGCCAAATAAATACATTCATGTAAAGTAACTATAAATAACAGTTCTTTAGTTATAATTCTTTCCATTATTATGTAGATATCCAAATATCCTGCAGCAAACATTCAACAAAATACAGCAGTATTGTAACATACTGCATTCTGGTTGAAGACAGGACTAATGCCAGGTAAACATCTAATCTCACTTCAAATTCTCCTCTCACAGATGGAGCTATTACATAATCAGCAAAGTAAAACACAAACCATGCAAACTAAGATCTAAATGGTGTTTTAGCATATTCATAAATGCGTTGGATTAATCAAGAGATATTTCAACGAATGAAAATACATCATTTGCATCCATTGTAATCCTGTTTGTTTAGAACAGCTATGAAATGTTATTTTAAAATTATTTATTTTCACAGAACTGATGATGTCTTTCGCACTCAGAAGAGGAAAGATCCTTTCTCTTGATTGGCTGTCTCTAGTGTTTTCTGTTGACTTGTAGGTGTTCACACTCTTAGATAAGTGCCGTGTCTGGCCTCAGCAGTGTTATGAATGAAAGTGGGTCACTTCCCATTGAGGACTCACCTCATACCCTCGATCTGTGCAATCAAACCATGCAAGGTCTCTCTATTGTAAGAGTAAAAGTTACAGACATTTCCGACAAATTTCTAGTTTAAAGGTACAGTGTGTAGAATTTTGTGATATCTAGTGTTGAAATTACATGTTGCAGCTGAACACCCCTCACCTCACCCTCTCCTTCCAAAAAGAACCTGTGGTAGACTTTAATTGTCATAAAAACTCAAAAGGTGTTTAGTTTGTTCAGTCTGGACTAATGTAAAAAACATGGCGGCCTCCGTAGAGAGGGTCCCCTCGATGTAAATATAAAGTATTTGAATATAAAGAGCCTTTTCTGGGGTAAAGAAAACTACAATTCATACAATTTAGAACTAGTGAAAACATCATGAGAATTGTTCTTCATTAAATTTCTGCCAATAGTTCCCTTTCACCTAAATCTTACACACTGGACCTTTAAAAGTTTGAGACTATAAATACCATAAATCTTTACATCAAAAAATGTTTTTGCTTAGTAGACAAAAGCTTATAGAAAGTCTGAGGCAAATTTCACAAGCTGGGATTCATCATCTAACAAACTTCCATTAAGTCGAAGATGTGCAACATATGGTGTGCTGGAGCTGTAAAGGCTGATTTAAACACCACCTAACGGGAATATGGTGCAGTTGTTTCTCCCTACCTTTGGAGGGAGACAATCGCTGCCTGCTCGTTCTCATTTTCAGCCTGGGTGGTCCCTAACACTTGCCAAGCCTGCAGGAAAACAAAATACAGGCAACAGTAAACAGCAGGGTGGGATCTTGCACTCCAAAACCAGTATTCTCAAGAGGCTGAAACACAAATACAGTATCCCAGCATCGCTTGCCAGGCACAACCAGAATGATCCAGCACAGAGCGACTAATAACCAGTCTTTCAGACAAACTGCCGCAGGGGAGCTAGAGAAAATTTTAACATAACTTCACAGAGATTCCATGAGGTCAAACCAAAGCCCATGCAATTATGATTAAGAATTGTTTTGCTTGGAGGACTGTCCCTACATACTCTCCTAATGCTCCATGAAATCATCTTAACAATAGAAAGTATTTATTTTTCAATTATGTTTTCAGAAATGACTTCCTGACATGTTGTTTAATCTTTGTTTTTAATGTAGAGCTGAATGATTAATCTGTCTAAATTAGATAATAAATACCCTTTTCCACAGTATTTTGGATTTTTTACTATTGGGAGAATTAATTGCTGAAATCATCAAATAATGAATATTAAGCTTTAACTTATAGTAATATTCATTAACTTTACTTTTGATATTCTATAAACTTCAAATGAATTGCTTTGTCCAAACAAAAGTACAGAGCCCAAAGATATTACATTTACATGAGATAAAAAGCAACAAATCCTCTAACTGGGGAAACTGGAACAAGTAACTGTTTTGCACTTAAATATTAACTCATTATTAAAACAGTTAGACCACATCTGGGGAAAACAAATTCAAAGTACCCTTGATCAGCTCAAGGGGCAGAAAAAGTAACCCACAATCCAAAATGCACGATTACGAGATTACTCCTCCGTATTTTTGTCTGTAAGGGCACATTTAACATGTTCTGAAGCTAATCTCTGTAGATGCTCCGTTTGTTCTACTCTTTGCAATGATGGGCGAAATTATTTCTGAATAATTCAGAGGTCTTCACAGTGGGGCAATAAGCCACTAAGCGCCCTAGGAGGAATTCTGGAATCATATTAGTTCCATACACCACGGGATAATCCTCTCCTCGGAATAACTGGCACATTTTGTGTATTCCAGGGGATTCTCAAAGTACTTTGTGTGAAGGCTTTGCTCTTTCAGCCTGCAAAGAGGTTATTTCTTTTGAAAAAGGGAGTATACAAAAGTAGTAAAAAAAAAAAAAAACCTGTAGAATGAGCTAATATTCAGCTCACTGGGCAAATTTCTCATCAAGATTAAGAACAAGATGAGTATTTTTGCTACAGTAAACAACGCTGTTTAACAAGAGAACAAATCTTTCAGTGTCTAGCCCTGTGGGTCTTGCTGACTAAATCTGCTCCACACAGCCTGTGGTCACTGAGGCATTCTTCCTCTCCAGCTATCTCAACATGAGGCTGAGTAAGTGGGCTTGGATGTAGCCTTGAGTGGGTGCTGAAAACCAAACGGCTCCAATTTGGTTGACCGGTGCAGGACTTCAGTTTTATTGGCCATCTGTGCCATAAATGTCTGTAACGCTGTAGATACAATTGTCACTGTGGTTCAGCTGACTGGTTAAATAATTTAAAAAATACAATATTAGTGAGTGTGCATGTGTGAACTAAATGAAATCACCTCTGAATCCTGAGGGTCTTGCAAGACAGCTGCTTCCAGCAAAAGCACAGCATTGGGCAAGTCTCCCTCTCGAGACTTCTTAAGTCCCTCTTCAAATGCGTTTGGAAAGTCCTTATAAGGATTATCTGTGTGGAAGTAGTAACCCTGTCAGAAAAGAAAAAAAAAGACAAAAAACAGGGACAGTGGCAATGTCAGTTTCTTGCTTAAATGCAAACCAGGGCAACTGTCCTGTGCAGTTGTATACTTAAGCAAAGCCCTAGCAGCAGGAATCGATCTTTCTTGCTCCACATCAAACCTGGGCTAAGATCCCCGGGGTTTGTCTGTTCTCCTTTAAATGTTAAACTTTGCATTTTCAGACCGTGATTACCCTGGTGTGTTGTTGCCCGCTTCTGAACATGATGACAGCTTTCTCTTTAAGAACTTATTCTGCACAGGGATCAATAAGAGAGCCCAGAAGTCTGCACTTGTATGATTTTCCTTATATAAGAAGGGCATCTGTGATGGGCAAAGTTTACTGCTCAGTCTCAGCCATATGTTCTCTGTAAAACTCGCAAACACTCCTACCTTTAATAGGAGGAATTAAAAAAACTCTACCAGCTGACCTTGGCTGTGAGTCAATAATCATAGCGTTTGTAAAGTTATTTTACATTCTAGACAGGAATGCATTGTTTTATGCTACATAGACTGAGAATTCTGCCCTGTACATCTCTACAACAGTGTCATCAAGACAACATTCATGCACATGATATCTTTATGATAGAAACCTTCTCATGTGGTGAAACCGAGGAGGGAATCTGCGCCTGCTCGTTTTCTGTCAGCCAGTTCCGCCGAGCGAGCTCTTCCCACTCTGCCTGCATCTTATCCCAGAACTCGGTGTCTGACTACAGACGTCAGAGAGAGAGATAGTGGGACACAATAGGAGGAAGAAGGATGAAGAAGTGGAAGAAGGAGAGGGTGAGAAGAGGGAATGAGTGATTAGTGCACTGTGGAACAACAGCTCTTGCAATTTCCCATTATCGTACAGCTGGAAATGTCACGTCTGTCGGTTCAGTGGGTGGCTGTAATATATGGACTCTGCACTTTTGAGGAGTCATTACATCTGATATTCTAATCTAATATTGTGTTTCCACTACTGTTTACGAACAATTCTTTAGTAACACAGGCAAATATTTATTTA